CTTTGAACAGCTGACCATTGGTTAATTAGCCAAACACGCACTGTACCCGTAGGCATCCCTTCAGAATGACCAAAACTAAACTCTGCCATCAAGTCGATGCTGGTGCATGGCAACCCTGGACTACCAAGGGCCCCAGTGCACTGCAGAAACCACTCCAAGTTGGCTCCTCTGAAGCATCTCCCTGGTAACTAATCTCTCTCGTGTTTATGCCAGGGTAATTCTCAAATCTCCTCTATCAGAAAGATGGGAAATGGGCTCCATCCCAGACTTAAAACAATCTCTGGATAGAAAACAGCAACTCACTGCTCCTAGGGGCGTTGCAGCATGGCCACCCCGGCACAGCTATGTCATTAGAGGGCAGAGAGAAGAGGGGCTATGTCTAGGCTCAGGGTACGTGAACCACCTGGCTGGCTGCTAGCCCCACAGTCCTACTGCACCTGTGTGACCTGGGCCACCTGAAGGGTGTGGGGCAGGGGGGGGTTCCCTGCTAAGTCATTTTGCAAAGTGACAAGATCCTGGCAGCTGGATGACAAATGATGGGTACCATTGTCTTTGGGGGGCAGGGCACTGAAAGGTGTCGCTGCCCACTGTAGGGGGGGTCCGAGCAAGCCCATGTCTAAGGGTGACTTGGCAGGGGGCTGGCTTGCCCACAACTGACTGGTTGCCAAAATTAAAAAAAAAGAAAACTGCAACTCATTCTCTGCTTGCTCTTGATTATTTTACACACTACATTTGACAAACATTTCCAGATGGCAGTGACTTCCAACCTGGGCAACTTTGCTCCCCCACAATACATTAGGGATACCTACAGAAGTTTTCTAGGGAGTGCTACTGACATCGATGGGGTGGTGGCTCAAGTGTAGAGTTCTTGCTTTCCATAAGGCAGACCAGGCTTATCTCCAAGCCAGTGCATGCTCAGTGTGGTCACCATGCTTCCCTCACTGAAGGCTTGCAATTTGCTGTGATGCAAGCTGTTTTCAGCGGAGCTTCCAAACTAAGACTAAAACAACAGGCCTAGCAATCTACTTCTGAAAACTCAGCCTCAATCTCCCGTTGCAAGAGGTGGTTATGTGTCAGGGCCTACCTCAACAGCACCTAACAAGTGCCATCCGGTTAGTACAGGACTGGAGTGCTGCTAAACTAAGGTGACCGGACGTCCCACTTTTGGCGGGACAGTCCTGATTTTTAACAAAAGTCCCGATTTTTGGAAAGAATGCACGACAAGCTAGGGTATACAGTTTTCGCTGCCATGTGGCTATTTCGCCAGGATATGCGTTTTATCAATGGTGTCCTGCTGGTGTCCCGCTTTATCAATGTTAAAATCTGCTAAACATATGCTAGCCCATGTGACAGCTATTTTTTTTCTCTAAAACACACACCTAAAAACTGTTAGCTACGTTTAAAGTTGAAAGGGAGATTATGAACTATATGACCTTGAGTTTGAAAACTGAGATGTAAGAGGGAACTGATTACAAGGAACTCTATGGGACCTCCTCCCTGGGGGACAGACAACCAAAAAGTGGGTGAAGGGAGACGTCGGACAGGGCAAGATATGACAAAATACCAATTTATAAACTATCAAGGGCTCATGAGGGAGGGGGGAGCGGGGCGGGAGGGGAAAAATGAGGACCTAATGTCGGGGGTTTAAGTGGAGAGAAAATGTTTTGAGAATGATGTACAAATGTGCTTTACACAATTGATGTGTGTATGGATTGGGATAACAGTTATATGAGCCCCTAATAAAATGTTTAAAAAAAAAAAGAAGAAAACTGAGATGTAACTGCCAAATCCCAACTGGAGGAGGATGCCTGTTTCATCATGGAATGAGTTCTGTTGGTTCTCCGCCTCATGGAACTGTCCGGTTGAATTGACAATAAGTACCTGGGGCTTCTGGGAGGGCACCTGAGATCCAACTATTGGTCTCTGAGGAAGGAGACTGGGCAAGAGAAAGTACTGGACTACAGAGGTCTCCCTCCCCAGGAGACCCAAAGAGCTAGGCGGTGCCAGCCTACCCAAGGTTGTGATGAAAGAATCAATAGATGAACCCCGATCAAAAGGAGAAAACCCGTGAAACAATTTCAAAATCTTACTGCATCTAGACTTTCTGGACCCAGTAAGACTGGAGTAAGCCCCAATCCATCACTCTGAAAGAGGTCTTCAAATCAAGAGCCCAAAAAGAATGCTCTTTTAAACAGTTTAGCTAAATGGGTCAAGAATGCCTGCCATAAGCACTGTGTCCTTTTGAAGAATGATCTACATCAGACCCAACTGTTCACAGCAGATCTAAAGCATCAACGGGAAGTTCAGCGAGGGCTACTTCTAAAGAGGCCTGGTGGTGTAGTGGGTTCCGGTGCCAGAAAGTTCGGGTTAGGGCTAGGGCCAAGGGCTGGGTTTCTAGACAAGGGCAGCACAGCTCTGCAGAATGACGAGGCTGGCTGCTCTGGTACAGATTTATTCTTCAAAACCCCACGGGACAGGGGCGGTTCCAACCTGTCCTAAAGGATCGCTGACTCGGAATCGACTGACCTCAACCGTGGGTTTGGAACCTTCACGCAATGGTGGCGACCAACATGAGGATGGTGGCACCCGACCACTTGCAGAAATCGTGGTGCGGGCATTTGTGCCCCCTCGCCTATTTTCAGAAGCATGACCCTCAAGAAACCTCTTTGTGACGAGCACATGAGAAGCGCTAGATCTCGGCACCCACGGCTCTGGAAACAGAATTGGTTCAAGGGCATCTGAAACGACACGCGAAGAGACGCTCAAAGGCGCCTCCAGGGACGTACCTTGGACCTGATGCGGAGGTGAGCGTAGGGCACGAACTCGGGTCTCTCGTGCTCCTGCTGCGACTTCAGGAAGGCGTTCAGCATGCTCACTCCCACCCCCGGGAGGGCGACGAAGAAGGTGAGGGCCTTCCACAGGCGCGCTGCCGAGAAGACGTAACGGCTCAGCCTGCACCTACCTCTCCCCCGGGCCTCCAGCCAAGGTCACCGTCCCGCGCCGCCGAGGGGAGCTCAGGCCCGCCCCGCCGCCGCCGCCCCCCGCCCAGTAGCTGAGCCCTCCTTGCCGTGAGCGCTGCTCGCCATCGGCCACCCCAGCGGTGGTCAAGACCGAACCAGCCGCCCAGACGCCCGGGACCAAGTCGCCGCCATTTCCGACTTCTACCGCCGCAGCGCCGGAAGCGGACGGCGGTAGATGAGGGGGCGGGACCATGGCTCCTAAGGAAAGCTCCTATTGGGTGGTGTCTTCACCAGCCCGCCCTCCCCGCCCGACGCTTGCGCACTGCCTTCCAACCCGACCGCGTCTCCAACGCCGGGGAGCCGCGGAGCTCGAGCGCGCATGCGCTGTGGGCCTCTCTTCAGGAGTCACCTTCGCGTCGGTGCCCGGCGCTCGTCCTCTTCCTTCTGGACCAGCTTCCGCAGGGCGCGCCGGCCGGGAAGGGCCTCGGAGTGCGTGGGCTCGGAACCTCGCCATCCTCTGACCTGCGGTGTTTATATTCTTTGTTGTTGTTTTTCCATGACACCTCTGGGATCGTCGGCATTATTGTCTTCTCCCTAACTAGCATATAAGCTCTGTGGAGTTTGCCGTTGCAGCTTTCCCAGGAGCTGGATGCGCAAACGCATGTGAGAAGTAGCCAACAACGGAAACCAAAAAGAGTCCTGGAATTGGCGCCAGATCTGTATTCTAATCCGGGACTCGGTTGCAGCGGGTTTAGTCGCCCTAGCCTTCTGGCCCTGGCATTTATGGAAACAAAAATCGACATCTGTTCTATTTCGTTTCTTCAACCCTTCCCCCACCCCGGTCTTTCCTTCTTTTCCTTTCACTCATCCCAAAGGAATTAAAATAATAATAATAAGAGCCGAAATGCAAACACAAAAGATATTATGAAGACAGACATCTGGAGTCATAGACTCCTTTAGAATGAGATGAAAGCTCGCTCCCCTTCTCTGCCAGCACCAGCGTAATGAGCCGCCTTCCATCCTGTGGACAGGAACAAAAGCAGAATTGCTCTCTTTAAAGACCCAGTGAATTCGCATCAAAACTGGTCATAAAATCAGGTCCTGCTCTTAAGAGGAGACATTGGAGAAGAACGAAGCTGGGTCTATTAAGGAGCCGCACAGGGGCCTGACCACATACTTAGCAAGCTAGGTTCGATGGTGTTCTGCGATGCCAAGTTGAAAACTTAAACACGGTTGATCAATGGAGCATGTATGGAGAAACTTCCAGCGTCTTCCTTTGTTCTTCTGCTTCCACGTTAACAGAACGACTAACCCTATGGGAGACCTCTGGCTGGGGCCAGGGAGGAAGGAGAATGGGATGAAAGCTATGAAGCCTTTTCCCTGGAAGTGTGTGTCACGAACTGAGTTTAGCATACCGCCTGTGCCCTAGGGCCCCAGGATGCATACCCCTGGGGAGGGAGACAGGAGGATACCATGCTGAAGACTATGAGTCCCATCTTGATCTTCCCTTGTACCCCTTGTGACCTTGGACAAGTTCAATGTAACAAATGCTTTTAGATCGTGCCGTTTCGCTCAAGACAAAAATGTAGGATCCACTTAAGGAAACTCATAATCTGATCTAGCATTAGATCTTTTTCCAAGTACCCTAGGTTTTCACATTTCATCATATAGGCAGGATCATCAGATCCCTGGGCATTCTCAAACACAGCCAAAGGGTATATGAGGCCCCACACAGTAGCCATGGAAAGAGCCCAGGCTCAAGAATCTGCTTGCAGGAGGGCAGGGTGAGCCCACCTTGGGTCCTGACACAATTTGAATAAGTGGCCTGTTTTGAGGGCGGGCAAGGTTCAAACACTGACAGTCTCTTTCTGGTCCCCCTGGTTCCTGACTCAGACTTAAGAAAGATAAGGAGGGCCAACTTCCAGCCAGGGCTTGGGACCCCAGCCCAGGCAGAGCCTTTGGACCCAAGCTTGGCTCCCATCTCTCTCCTCCATCATGGGATTCTGTGACCCTGACTCACCGGCTGTAGGCCAGAAGTACGCTTCCTAGAGGCCCACAGATGCAGATATTCCCAGAAGGAAAACAACTCTGGGTGTGCTCATTTGGATTGGGGAGGGTCCACACTGCCCACTTTGCCCTTCCTAGCTTACCTGGAGGCTGGGGTGCAGGGCAATGGCGTGCAGCCCTGGAGCAGCAGGTGCCGAGGATGGCAGGGCTTTGAGCATCATGATCTGCATGCTGATCTGGTGCATCTGGGTGTTCTGCATCAGCATCATCTCCATTGTGTTTGGAAGGAGAGACGGGGGCTCAGCCTTCATGTGGGCAAGATTCCAGTGATGGGGGTCTGCTCCATCAACTAAGCTTTTGTTTATAGATACTTGTTCAAAACGGTGTTTTAACAAGCAACAAGAGAACTGGCCACTGCCTTCGTGCAGGTCTGTGTAGTATCTTCTGAGAAGGGAACATTTATGTCGAAGAGTCTGTCTGAAAGTTGTATTGCCAGTGTCCAGGTGGCCTCCCAAGAGGCTGTCCCAGTGTACATGTATGCTACTGATTCTAACTGCCCCAGAGGGTGGTGGTGGTAGTGTGATTATGAGTTGGGCTGCCAGGTCAGCAGTTTGAAGCCACCAGTCGCCCCTGGGGGAAAGACAGGCCTTTCTACTCCTGTAAACAGCTATAGTCTCGGGCACCCGCAAGGGGTCACTATGAGTCAGCATCAATTCGATGGCAGTGAGTTTTGAGTTTCATCTTTTTTATTATATATTTTTTATTAATGATTTGAGTTTAATCTTTATAGGAGCAGATCATCACCAGGTGTGTTCTCCTGAGGAGCCTTTGATGGCCTCTAAGCACTTAGCTGGTGAGCCACCTGGGCTACTTAGTAATGTCCCCTCGTCCCCCAAGAAAAACAAAACACTGCTATCTGGGTAGAGCTGCCCTGTGGATTTCCCAGACGATAACACTAAAAGATGGAGTAGAAATCCCCATCTTTCTCCCTAGTTAATGTTTCCTCAGCACTTATTTTGTGCTCAGAGTTGTGCTAGGTGTTTTACAAGAGTTGTCTTCCCCATCTCTGCTGTTTCTGACCCAAATCATTAGAGCGTCCTCTTTGACTCTTCTCCCTCCTACCCCCGCCCACCTCTCCTTTCACATCCAGCCCTTCAGCACGCCCTGCTGGCTCTCCCTCCAATAATCATAGAGACTCATTACTTCTCACCACGGAGGTACTCCGGCCTTCACTGGAAAGGTTACAACCCGTTCCTCATCCCTTCCCGGCCCCACACAGTCTGTTCTCTGTATGGTTTCCTCTGAAATGCAGGCGTCTCTTTCTGATGGCTCCCCGTCCTTCCGAGTAAACACCAAAGTCTCGATAGACCATCCTATACAACCTGCCCCCTGCTGCCTGGATGGTCTTTAGTTCCTTCCACTCCCCCACCCCTTGCCCACTTCTCTGCAATTACTCTGTCTTTTAAGATTATGGAGGTTGCTAGGGAAGTGAACAGGTCGCAAACTTTAAGGAGATGAGGCCTTTTCCGCGACGACTCCTCTTAGCCTCTCCAGTGACGGCGGCGTCCTTGCCTCTTTGGAAGCGCCGGACACGGTCCTCCCTCAGGACCTTTGCACGCGCTCGTTTTTCTGCATAGAAGTTTCCCCATAGATCGTTCGTTGACATTCTTATGACATTCAGGCCTTTGCTCAACAGTCCTCCTGCCCTAGAGGAAGCCTGGAGCCTCCGAAGGTAAAATCCCCTCTCCCCGCCTAGCCCTCCAGCTTCCTGACCCTGCCTGCTCTAGCGTCATCACTTGTGCGACCAGCTGCCACATGATGCGTTTGTGGGTCTGTCGTTTGCCTCCTCCACCAGTCTCCACGGGGCAGGGACAGTAGTGTGTCCCCTCCAGCACGGAGCACGAGGGAGGTACAACACAGCTACTAATTCTAACCACGATCCTATGAAAGTTACTCTTCTCCCCACTCCATGGATGAGGAAACAGGACTATGAGACACAGGAAATTGACCAAAGTCACACAGCTGTAAGCACATGATGGATGCAGGCAGCCTGGGGGCTCAAGGAAAAATTCTGCTTCTAGCAGAATGATACCCACTCCAAGAGGCCAAATTCCCACTGACCCGATGCTCTGCGTAAGGATTCCCAAGAAGAGAAACAATGAACTTCTGACTTCAAATCTCCAGACCAGACGCTGCCATCGAGCCGAGGCTGACTGCCCTGCGGGACAGGGCAGGACTGCCCCTGTGGGTTTCCAGAGGGTTTCACGGTTAACTCAAGTAGAAAGCCCCATCTTCCTCCCACAGAGTGGCTAGTGGTGTCCGACTGCTGGTCTTGGATGGCAGCCCCACGTGTAACCACCATGCCACCTGGGCCCCTTTTCCTCACTTCTGAGGGTTTGAAAAGCAACCCTCTATGTCTATGTGTTTCAGGTCATGCAGTGCAGGAGCCCCCGGGCGAGTCTTCGTTGTGTGCGTGTGTGGTTCTCAGCTTGTGCCGCCCTGCCTGGCCTCACTGTGACCAGGAGGTCAGGCCTCTGAGCCTCCCCCAGGCCATGGGCTGGCCAGGCCTAGATTTGACTTCGTCCTCTGTGACAGCTGCAAGGTTGGCAGGCACAGTGAGGCGCTAAGGCCCTCTCTGATCCCCATTTCTTTATTTCCCTCCCTGTCTTGGAGACAGTGCATTGGTTGGGCTGAGACTGGGGGAGGCCACCCAGCCAAGGACAGAGCTTGCTTATGGGCAAGCGTCTCAGGGCTACCTTGCCTGTTATGTCTACTGCAGTTTCCAACTGGAGCAGGTCCAATTCCTAACATGTAGTGGGCACCAATAAAGACCAAGGGATTAATCGTCGGAGAAGGCACGGAGGAGGCATCTCCCAGCTACAGAGGATGTCAGCCCGCCATCTCCATCTTCAGAATAACTTATCTGTCCTGTTCACCATTATGAATATATGCACTTTGTGTCTCAACTGTGTCCCTGGACTGGGGACACTGGTGAATTGGAACACAGAGGTCCAGCCTCATGGCGCACTTAGTCTAACAGGGAAACTGACCGTACATTGTTACAGCCAGTGTGATGGGTTCTACAATAGGATGGCATCATAGCTTTGCAGGAAGGCCTCAGAGCCAACACAACCTTGCATCAAATGGGCCTTGGTATCAAGTTCAAGTCCCAGGTCTGCTACGTAGCTGTGGGCAAATAAAAGGTTTAAAAATCCTATCTGTGAAATGGGCTTGTTTCGAGGACTTATTAATAGATATCCAACTAAAGCATTGCCTGTCAAGTGAATTCCAACCCGTGTGGACCCTGTGGGGCAAATTAGAACCGTTCCATGAACTGATGGAACCAGACGGCCTCGTCTTTCTCCCATGGAGTGGCATGTGGATTTGAACCACCATCCTTTCTGTTAGCAGCCCCATGCTGAACCCACGATGATGCCAGGGCTAGTGTTTATTGTGTACATACTAAATGAGGGGACTTGAAGAAACGCATGGGTCAATGGGATTAAAAGAGAATGGACTTCCCCCCCTATGAAAACATCACGCTTGGTGTTATAGGGATAAGGATTTACAGTCTTGGAGGCCCACAGGGCCCTGTCCAATCAGGTCCCTAGGAGTCAAAATCAACTTGAAGGCAGCAGGCTTACTATATGAGATGAATTCAAAACAAAACAACAACAATAACAAACCATTGTGACAAAGGCAAATAAACCTTTATTACTAGGCAGACATCACACTGTGAAGCAATTATAGCTCAAAAAGATCCTCCATCTCTTCTGCTCCCTTCTGAAGGCAGAAGTTTCCGTCTCTCTAACCTTCCCCGATGGATTCTGTGCGCTTCAATTCACACCACTTCCACAGCAGTTTTGCCACTCCAGGGACTCAAATCGGTTTATGTTTACGTTTTGGGAACAAAGAGAAATCGGAAGGGGCAAGATAAAGGCTGTAGGGGGGATGGGGTACCAAGTAAGGTTTCCCAAGGAAATTCTTCTGGGACAGACCTTGCTCCTCCTGAAGAATGAGCAGGTACATTGTCGTGACGGGGGAAATATATTTATTTATTTAAATCATTTTATTCTTATCATAATCCACACATCCATCCATTGTGTCAGGGGTATTTGTACATTTGTTCCCATCATCATTCTCAAAACATTTTCTTTCTACTTGAGCCCTTGGGATCAGCTCCTCATTTTTTCCCCTCCCTCCCTCCTGAACCCTTCATAATTTATAAATTATTATTATTTGGAAGAGTATATTTCACTACCGCTTTCTTGGCTTTTAATTCATCGATACAGTTTCAATTTTCTGAAAACTTCCTCTTAATAAACCCCTGTGAAAAAAAAAAAATAAAATAAATCCCTGTGACTGCCCTGTGTCCATCAAGAAGACGGATCGTGGTGGCCCCTTCGGGGTCCCAGAGAGCCATCACCCTAACTTGAGCTGACCGTGCTGCTGTGAATTCATCTTTGAAGGCTGCCTGGCCTTCCCTCCAATGCCCAGTCCGTCTAACTTTGTCTGGCAGGTGGGGCAGCATTCCCGTCAACAGGCTGCCGAGCATCTGTGACTTGGCAAGAGGTCCACTGGTGTTTGGTTAGAAATCTGATACTAGCTCTGACCTCAAGGTTCTCTTCCGCTCCATGGTACAAAAACTAGCCTTGCTTTGAAGGCGTTAACAGGACTAAGGCAAGTGCATTACTGAGAGAACTTAGCCGCAGCCACCCACTGCTCACAGACAAACACATTTTGCGTGGAATAAGCTCATGTGGTATGAGTGGGAACCCAAGTGGCAATGCTTTACTGACCTTCCTATCCCAAAACAAAAAAGAGAAAAACCTCACTGCCATGGAATCCATTCTGACTCACAGTGACCCTATCGGATGGGGTGGAACTGCCGCTGTGGGTTTCTGACACTGTGTTTCAGGGAGTAGAAAGCCCCATTTTTCTTCTGAGGAGCCGCTGGTGGTTGTGAACTGCTGACCTTGTAGATGGAGCCCAGTGGGTGACCACTACACCACCAGGGCTCCTCACCTTCATAATCCGGGCCCTTTTACATGGATGAACTTACTTACAGTAGTACGGTATGTGGCACCGTGGTTCGTTTCTAGACTGCTAATGGCTAGTTTGTGGTTCAGACTCTCCCGGCAGCCGTACAGATGACGGCCTAAAAACACCTGTTGGGATAGTTCTGTGCTGTCACATTGGGTCATTATGAGCCAAAACGCAATGGCATTGAGCAACGACATCCTTGTCGCCTGGGTCCTTTACATGCAGTAACTTG